TTGCTCGCTTTGAAATCCTTGAGTTTGTTAATCAAAAATTCGTCAAAGTTTTAAAAAATAGGAAATCGATCATAAAACAAATTTCAAATTTCAAATTTGGTCTTCCACATGCTCATATTCGTTGGAGGATTACGTTATTCAAAATTCGATGACTCTATGTACCGTTGTTTTATCACAATACGAGAAATATACATACATTTATGCAGATTTTTCATTATTTAATTTCTTCAAATATAATGCAGGGCTCTAACATTTTGTGGCAACAGTTTGAAAAGTGAACCGACATTTATGAGTCCGACGCAAAATGCCAAAACGAAACTAATAGTCCTTCGGGATTCAAATCCCTTTGGACTAAAAAAAAAAAAAAAAAAAGAAGAAGAAGATTGAAGTGAATAAATACTTATTTAATTATGATTTTCCTTCACTTTTATAGGAAATGAATCAACAGTTTTGTGTGCATTTTGCTTTCAAGAAATATAATAACTTAGAATTAAGAGACCTAGCAATATCTTGAAGAAATTAAAAACTCAGATTCAAAAAGACTACAATTATTGATATTCAAGTAAACTTGTTTTTAACTAAAATCAGCGTGCATTAGAACAGACCTCTTCGTTTACTTACCAAAATAAATAAACTTATTAAGAAACCGATGACTTTTAATGATTCACGCTAGCTATTCAACTAGATTCCAAAAACAAAGTATTGTCAGGGCTGATTCAACGAAACATTTTCTGCATTTTAAATTGCTTTCATACGGGTGAATAAAATTGCAAATAATATAGAAAATGTGGTTGAAAAACTACAATTGGGAAATAACTGCTCTTTTTTAAGACTCAAAATTTATATGAGCTCATAAAAATAATTGTTAAAAATATGTGGCGATGGCTTTAAGCTGTAAGTTGAAATTCCGAATCTTAACAGCCATACTAGGAAGTAAATCACTCAAGCATTCGTTTATTGTTCAGATATCTGAAGGCCTGGGAGTACTTAAACCTATAAAATACAGCAATAAAGAAAACATGGAACCGAATTTTATGCGTTCACATTATGTCAAGGCATTTTTTAAATCTATTTTTTTTATTTAATCGTTATAATGAAAAATTTTCCGAAATGAATTCATTTTTTTATTATCAATTCTTTCTGCATTATTAATTTCTGAGAAACTAGCCATTTTTCTCCTGCAAAAAAAACAAAGAAAGTGATGGTAATAATAATAATAATAATATAGGAAAAAATGGGTAAAATTTCTCACTCTCTTTGTATTCTCTGTTTCTTAAGAAGGAAATGCGAATTGCCATCATTAAATAAATGACCGCAATTAACGTTTCTTTTCAACATACAGAAATATAACCTCGCTTCCCTGAGAATTGAAGATGTTGCTGGAGGCTTGCTTTTGTTAATTTTGGAGGGCTCGTTTACAAAGCATCAACTCCGGTGTAGGGGTGCGTAACGACATGTGCGCTACTACAGTTTTTAACCAACTAAACGAAGAAATAGGCTTATAGACTGAAAATGACGAGGGTAGATTCTGACTACGAAAACAGGATAACAGCCCACAAAATTCACGGTTTCATTGACATCTTTGGAGCAGTGGTTTTGTATCCTACTTTTTCCGAACATCCTTCAAATTTTTTCTGGTTATGCTTATTATGTTCTTCACTGAAGAACATTTCAAGCTGTGCCTTTTGTAAGTTCATAATTTATATGGCCTTTCTGAATGGCTTTTACAGCAGCTTTTAGTTTTGTTCTTGCTTAGCGTGTATGTGGGGAAATTCAGTAAATAAAATACGGCGAAGTTCGAATTCTCTAACTTCAAGTTAATTAGAACACCACATTAAAATTTAAATACATTATTCAACAGAATAAGAAGCCTCCAAAATTTTCATTTAAAAAAGGCTTAAGATCATAAATCCAATCTTAAGCTTCTACATTGTAGTTTTATCTGGAGTAGTGTCTGGGGACATCTTCATTTGAGAACTTTACACATGTTTCTTCTCCATTTTCTACTGCAGCGTGCGCTAAAGATATATCGGACATCCTCCGAAACTTGAAAAATATTCGACATGAGGATGTCGAACAGGCATTTTCACCCTGCCTACGTTACAGTCGTGCAAACTGTGATCGCTTGCGCATTTCAAACTCCAGGCCAGACTGAATCGTGAAATCTGTTATGACCGAGACGCACTGCATGGAAAATGTACTAAATCTCTATAACAAAAAGGGTGTATCCTAAAGTTGAAATGATGTCTGGCGTTAAATAAAAGAGCTTCTCTTCCATTTCTATGGAATGCTACAAGTTCTGGCTAAGTCGTTCTTCTAACGTGTTCTCCATGACGTTTTGGAGCAACATTACTTTGTAGCCAATAGTGATGATATTATTTTATACAAATATATGAGTTTAATCATCTGTTTCATTAAAAAAACTAATTTACAAGAAACTAAAATGTTAAACTAATGCATATTTAATTCTTTGTGGACTTCATCACCTGTGACAGAAAGAGATCTTTGAAAATCTACACAATAAATTATGAAATTTTGTGCTTTTACCTGTTACTCTGTGTCCAACAAATTTGGCACATATATTCTCCAAATAGGATATGGGTATACTTCAAAGAGATTTTTTAGAAAACCGGTTTATATATTTTTTATAACATTCAAACGATTTTTTACAGATATATCTTTCATATACTGACTTAACGATCGAACTTAATCATCATAGAATTTCAGTCTTTACACCATCGAATAGGCTGCAATATAATCTTTCAAATGAAGTTCATTCTGAATTTCCAATGACATTTATAGATTTTTTAAAACTTTTTCGATGTCAACCGCTTTTTTAGGTCATTGCACATCCAAAATTTTAGAAATTTGACATCGAGAAACGTAATGAAATTCATAAAGTCATGGAATTTTAATTTTAATATATTACTACTGTAAGCCAAAAGTCGTTTTATTTTATAGAACTGATAAATTTATGTGCTTAATCAAGTCATTTTTACAATACAAACTGTATGAATCCAAGGATTCCATTTCTTTCTTCTAGCAATCAGTGACTTCATTTAGACGATATGAAGATCAATCACCTATTTCGTAGCTGTGTTACGTGTAGTGAAATTCTTTCCGCTGAGCTACAGTATTTTTTCTGCCTCTTTCGTTATTACTCACCTGCATAACTATGGACTTTTCTAATAGTTTATGCATCTTCTAAAAATATTCCCTCCTGAGAAGCAAGAGGATGATACTAGTAAGAACAGTGCCTGAACAAGCAGTTGCAATATGTGATGAGACAATGGTTTTGAAGTGAAAAAACTCTGAAATAGAATTGATAAGAACAAATTTCAAAATGTAATGTTTTCAAATTTTGAATCTGCCATCTCACTCTAAGGTACTAAACCTGGACTCTAAGGGCGTTATAACACATCTGTCTTTCTCAGAGGAACAACTATTTTAAATTTTTTCTGACTTGATCACTAAAAGAAGGAGACGCAATTTTTTTCTCCCTGCGGCAAAAATGTAGAATTTACGTTTTCATCCAATTAGCACCAAACTAAAGAACTTGTCTTCATTTTTTGCAGTCTCTGTACTTGAAATGGAGGACTATTTAACCTTTGCATGGTAATCCCAAAGGGATTCGTGATGACTAATCTATTTTATATCATGTGAGAAAGTAGGAAAATTCCACTAAACCAGCGGTTCTCAACATTTTGACTAACGAATACCATCTAAACAAAATTTGAAAACCTTTAGTACCCCAACTATATTTTACAATGATTATCTTTCAGTTTCTGAATAGAAATGGAACATGGAAGAATCACGAAAACTGCCATGCGGACTGATCGTTCGCCTCTTGCTAAAGTCTCTCTGTCAGCTAAAGTCAAAGTCATATGATTTATCACGATACAGCTACAAACGAATCTTGGTGTTTTAATAAGAGGAAATCTGGCTATGAATTTGGCTTCTTTAAGCTCAAATAGCAAAAATTTACGAGTGTTAAAGAAAAATCTTAATCAGGATGCTGTGGTTTGAATTTTTGAATTTATTAGTTAAAAATACTTTGCTTCTTTGTGTACCACCTATTTTGCTCTTGCGTACTACCGGTTGAGAACCGTTGCATTAAACGGTTGTTTTTCCGAATGTTTTGAATATACGATACGGTTTTCATGCAAATTTTTAAAGCTGCAGCCCACTAGCGGCCGAGCGGTAAAGTCGCTTAACATTAGTAATTCGTTCTAGGGTTCTAATCCCGCCGAACGATCTAGCTGCCTGGGCCATTTTTTTTTTTTTTTTTTTTTTTTTTTTTTTTTGGTTATGTGGATAAGAGCTAGATTTTCCTTAGAAAGTTTCCTCGTGAAGGCATCTTTCCCCTGAGGCAGATAACCGTGGAGTACTTTGCCGTAATTAAATTAACAAAACCTAAAGTGTAACTTTGCGTGTTATCGTACACGTTTTCCATAACTTAGTTTAAATGTTAATGTTGCTCTCTGAATATTTTTTCATCCTTCTTCTTTCTACTGTATATATGAAATTTTAATACCTTAAAATTAATATAAAATATTTGTCGAACAATATATGGATGCTCGTCCAATCCTTTCTTAATTTCGTATGAATATAACACAGCTAAAGCCAATAATTATGATGATGTGTTAATAAATTTGCTGAAATGATAGCTAGAAAAATTAAACTGAAACATTTATCTATGTAAGAATTATGTAAAATCCCTTTAAATAATTTTATATAACTTTTGTTTTATACCATTCTTGTTTCAATATTATACCTCCTATTCAAAAGTCAAAAAACAAAATCTGGATGAGATACGTAAAGTTACAAGGAAAGTTGTTCATGTTGCCATTTCCTTGCAAAAATACCAACATTTACAGGCTTCTGAAAACATAACATGCTTTTCTAAAAGTTTTGCTGATATTTAATGATCATAAGATTTGAAATTGCAGATATTTTGAAGCATTTTTAATTTATAGAATCTTTCTCGATATTATTTTCAGTGATGAATGTAGCTGCTGGTAAAGCTGCAATGCAGTCCTCCATAGTGGCCAAAGGAGTACCGCAAAAAGCGGTCGATGGCAGCACTAGTCGCTCTTTCGCCGCGGATACCTGCACTTTATCCGAAATGGAAACCTCTCCTTGGTGGTATGTCAACTTACTAGAACCTTTCCTAGTGCAACTGGTGAGAGTAGATTTTGGACGACCTTGTTGTGGTAAGTAAAATAAGAATCTTTGACATGTTTCACTTTAAAATCCAAACGTTTCATTCTTGAAAAAGCCTATTTTATTTCAGGTGAGTTTTTTTTTTTTAAATTATTATTATAAGGAGGATTACTTATGAAAAAAAACTAAGATTAATTATGAAAAGAACTTTATACATCAAGTACTTGAGCATCTTGATACAAAATTGCTTGTGAAAAAAATTGATACATCGAGTTCTGTTCATAAGTAATGTTTTTTGTAATAAAAAAGATTTAAAACAAAATAGGCTTTTTCAAGAAGGAACTATTACTTGGATTTTAACTAAATACAAATCATCAAATAAGTCATTATAACAAAGTTTTTAATTCTCTAAGCCTGTAGAGATATTAGGTAATTTTTGAAAGCAGAAGAGATGAAAAATTAGCAACGCCTTCGCAGGGAATGGAACCACGGACCTCTGAAATACCGGCACAGTGTGCTGACCACTACACCACGAATGCACGCTGGGAAGGCAGGAAAAATACCTTACATACACCCCATTTTAAAGGGCGACTGCGGTTTTTAGTGGACCCAATCGCCAAATCCTGGGAGTGGAGAGTTATCATCCACAACCCTTTTTTAGTTCGGGCGCCACTGTAGAGATATTAGGTAACTTTTGAAAGCAGAGGAGATGAAAAATTAGCAACGCCTTCGCCGGGAATCGAACCACGGACCTCTGAAATACCGGCTTAAAGTGCTGACCACTACACCACGAAGGCACGCTAGGAAGGCGGGAAGAATATCTTACAAGTCTTTAAATATCAATCAGGCTCGATACATATATTTCATTCCCAGGACAAAGCCCACCAGGGGCCAAACGTTTAAGTCCTTGAATACTGCTAGTCCAGTCCGGGTTTCGGATCCTGGCAAGTGGCTGACTGCATAGACATTTTGTGGTTTTTCTCATGTGAATGTGTACGCGAATCTCTTCCCTCTTCTGCAGATAGCCCTCGAGTGCTTCGCTTTAATCAAATAAGCCAAGACCAAAAGGTAAAGGAGACACTTTTTAAAGTTCTACTCACGCTTTACATTATTTTAGATCGCAAATAGAGAAACTGAGAAAATTAATATGAAAAAAATTCAAAATTAAATATATTATTATTATTATTATTATTCGATGCACGTTGAATTTGGCGGGCTTTAGCCAGCGCCTCTAAAATGTGTCCTTTAACCATTTCAATGAACACTTTGAAAGTTTTATGTATACGAATAATTCACATGAGCATACCTACTGGTATGGAAATACTACGCAAACAAAGAATATCTTCAAAATGAAATTACAAAGTTTAATCACCACGTTTCGGTTTCTACAAACCTCTTCATATGTTCCGGACAGCTTTCCCCATTCCCCTGTCCTTCCGCAGCTACCCCAGACATGGTGTTCATAAGTCAGGACCCTACCGGGACGCATGCAGGAATCAGGAAAGAGCAGGAGTAGTGCATCTCCTGCTGCATGCCAGAACAACCAACAAAGTATCAAAGTACAAAGTTTAACTTAATTTTCTGAAATAATGTTAAAATTAAAAATTGATATTCTGTTAAATTTACCATTTCATATTTATTCACACAATATTAAATCCTGATACATTTATATATTTATTTGAGTTCAGTTAGCAACGAATGATGCATTTAGATAAATTACGATCAGAAATCCAATGCATATGACTTTGTGCCGGCTTTTAGGTCATTTATGCACGTAGCTGTAGTACTACTCTGCAATCGCTACCATTTGCGATAAATCCCACATCATTCTTATAAATTTTGCATTAGGCTAAAATCTGGGCTACATTATAGCCTGCTTTATAATATGAAGACAAAAGATTAATATTAATTCGTAGTATAAGAACGACAGCGAATGGAAATATTATCTTGGTAAAATACCAGGTCTATTTACGTATTTTGTGTCCCACCACCAAAAGATCATTCCAGAGTTTCAATCATTTCCAAAGTATCTTTACATTTAATTTCTGATTTAGCTACAATTTTTTTTTTAAATGGAGGCATCCCACGTTATCAGCGAAATCTGCTGATAGTGATTCTGAAAGTGAAGTTTGTATTTCATGCTTTGTTCTGTCTCCAGATCTTGCTGAAATAAAGGCCAACCATGTGGCACATGGAATATAAACATCTTCTTGACAACTAAGTATAGTTTCTATCGATTAGTTTGTCAAAGTCATATGATTTATCACGAGACGGCTACAAACTAATCTTGGTGTTTTAATAAGAGGAAGTCTGGCTAAGAATTTCGCTTCTTTAATACATTTTTCTAACCAAGAGCACACCAGACAGTTGCTTTTAAGAAAAAAAAAAAAAAAAAAATTCAATATGCTGCTACGATAACGTTTTTTTGATTGCTTGCATCACAATGTATCTTGGATATCGAGGTGTAAGCCTTTCTTCAGAGCTAGTTTACTGTTTAAGACTCATACTTGCAATAAACATGCAAATTCTTACATTCCAATTAACACTGAAATTTCTCTAATTGAAACTTCAAGAAGTTCTTGGAAGCTTTATGGAAATGTTTTACTGCTTATGTATATTTTTTCAGTAATCCATCGCAATTTAAAGAAACCAGGTGCTATGAAAAGAATACACAAAGAGCCAGCCACACAGTTTCTTTGCAATAGGACAAATTCAAATCCCACTGTATACGTTCTTAAAATGTTGCATTTTTTAATGTTCCCTCAAATTCTCACCAAGTACAAAGGCTCAAGTACAAGGTTTGTTAAGGAATTTTTCTGTTTAGAAATGAAATGAATATTTTTAAATCGAATGTATTTTCCATTACTTTCTTCAAAATAAAAAGCTGGTGTTAGATGCAAATACTCGCAAATTTTGCGTAGCAGAAATATTTTTGTGCGAATTTAGCTTTCCATTTAAAACTCTAAATATTTCAATTCGATATTAGGTAAAACAAAATCGTATTAGGTACAAAATATGAATATTAAGTAAAACAGAAATCTAATTTTGGTGTAGATTTTAAATAAACCTCTATCAACTTCGAGGGCAAACAGATAGAGATCTCTGTTCTTCAAAAGCAGGGATAAAAGCCTGAAAAATAAGAGCAGCAAAAAAAAGCACAACCGTCGCGCCATCTGTTGAGGGAAATATTAATGAAACATGAATAAAAATTCTAAAAGCGTCAGGAAATACTGAATTGGAATATTAATGTCATTAACCAAAGAAGATAAATTTTTGTAAACGTGTAAACGTTACAAACGTTTTTGTAAACGTTCAAGGAAATCCATTACACCAACCGAAGAAGATTTATAGATAATTTTTGTAGAACTGCATTTCTTCTCTAGTAAGTGATCATTAACTCCAATGCAGCGCTTCCCAACGCTTTTAGAGTAGATGACACTACGATAAAGTTCGCCTTTTTTGCCCATTGCTTTCTATATAAATACAGTTGTCGCTCATCTCATTTTTGAGATTTTTTTTGCTTCTGATGAAGGGAGACCGTCTGTCACCTTCGAAATTTATAGTTTTATTCAAAATCTTCATTAAAATAAGACTGCTTTTTTGACATATTTTTAACTCTAAATAAATAGTTATTTACAAAACCGAATTTAGAAAATAAAACTGGAATTTATTTTTCTTACATTTATTTTAATTTTCCTTTGCAGCCAATAACCTTCCTGCAACCGTGACCGTAAGGGTAGGAAACAGCAGACCTGATCTAAGTGCGAATCCCGTCTGCAACAAGTTCACAGGCAAAATCGGTAACTACGAATTGGCTATTTAAAATTTACCATTCTCGTGGAATGTTTGTATATATGTGCTTGGTGATGTGTATTGATTTCCTTTCATTAGAGGAAGGGCGCCCTTTGTTTTTCCCCTGCACATCCACCATCACTGGAGCATTCGTAAGTGTTCACGTGGAAACGCCCACTGCATTCACCCTATCCATCTGCGAAGCCTTTGTGTACACAGACCAAGGTAAGTAAGAAACTCATTGAAGTAAAACAAACTATTACTTCAGAGCTATCAAGTAATCATTCACCGTCAAAAGAAACAAACTTTGTTGCATAAATAGTTTTACTTAAATTACTTCAACCAGTGGAAAGTCGTGCCAGCGTTTTAAATTACTTAATCATCTTTCGTGAAATAAAGTTAGGAAAGGTAGTAACCAATGTACAGACAATAGGAAATTTTCAGCTCTTATTCATCTTTTCGTTTAACAGCAGGCCAATGCAATTGAATGGTATGGTAAACAGCGTTTAAATATACGTTACTTACATATCATAAGCGAAATCAATTGAGGCATATAGCCATCTATTAAAAGACTGGTTATTTGGAACAGTTGTTTGGTGATTTCCACACGCTTCCAGTTACATCACGAAAGGTAGCCATAAGGAAGGAGAAAGTTCCTTATCTTATGCTCCACATAAAGGCCGACTGGGGAGCAGCTTATCTTTCCACCAAATCCTGGTGGCGTCGAACTATTATGCGACACATTTTAATTTGGGCTCCCGCTGCAGAGTCATTTGATTTATTTCGGAGCAAGAAATGTGGAAAATGAGCAATGCCCTTTCAGGATAAGAACTCCGGAGCTCCCTATGTCTGCTCCCAGCTACACCACGAAGGAATAAAGAAGGAGAAAATACCTTACAAAATTACATTTCGCATATTGTTAAAGTTAAGCAGGTTTATAAAAGAAAATGAAATGATATAAAGATGAATGCTGAGATGAACAAGTGCACGAACCACAGATAATGATTTCAAAATAGATAAAACCACAAAACATGAAATATCTTAAAACACAGCATTAAAAACCAAATCAAATTAAATAATAAAAACCCAGTCTATTCTAAGTATTGAAATAAATTAGAACTGACCTCTTTCCTTATTAATTAGTCAAGAGGCAAATCACCATCTCCAAAATAATACGTCAATCAAAACCAGTTAAAATGTGGACAGTCTATTAAAAATTGACCCACCGACCACAATATGCAACAGCAGGTTCACTCTTATTAGTTACAGACAAAAAGACAATTGTGTATAACCCTAGAGTGGCCTGTTCTAAGATAAATTAAAATCAATGCCTCATTTCCATTTCTACCAGCTTCCCAATATATATTAGAAGCTCTTATTGGGGTATAGCCAATATACCCTTATCTTGGATATATGTTTGACGCTTAAATATATATATATATATATATATAAGCTTCAAACATATACCCAAGATGAGCGTATACTGGGAAGCTTACATTGGGTATACCCAATATAAGGTATATATATTAGATACTATACTAATAATACAGTCAGATCTTAGAACATCTTTTTATTCTGAAGTTGCCATTCCGGAAAAGCATAACTCTAGTTCCTTTATTTATAATTCACGATCTTTACAAATGTAAATTTAGCTTTTGTGTCATAAATGAAGTCAAAAAAGAGACAAAACCACTTAAAAAAAAAAAATCTGACAGGTTTTCAGATTTTAAATTACGTCCAAAGGTGTGTTTTTTTAACATTTTGTGAGTTACCTTTATTTATTAAATGTTATGTTCTTCGCACTTAAACCATAAAATTCAGTTTAATAGCAATGTCGCAAAATAATTTAAAAATGAGCCCATCTTTAGAATTTCCGAAACATATTTCCGCGCGCTGGAGATAGAAAGGTTTCCCCCCCCCCCCCACACACCGTAGATTGTTGCCGTTGCTCGCTTTTAAATCGTTGAGTTTGTTACCCAAAAATTCGTTTAAGTTTTACAAAATATGAAATCGATCATAAAACAAATTCCAAATTTCAAATTTGAGCTTCCACATGTCCATATTCGCAGTAGGATTACGTCATTCAAAATTCGATGGCTCTATGGTACCGTTGTTTTATCACAATGCGAGAAATATACATATATTTTTGCAGATTTTTCATTTTTAATTTCTTCAAATATAATGCAGGACTCTAACATTGGGTGGAAACCGTTTGAAAAGTGAAACGAACATTTATAGTGATTAAACGCAAAATCGCTAAACGAAAACAATAGTCCTTCAGGGACAAAGCCTTTTGAACTAATAAGTACTAATTATTTAAAAATTCTGTAACAGAATCAAGTGATCTGTTTAATATCAGTTGTATAGTGTGGTTATAGCATTATTAACTGTCATTCATATTGCAAAAACTTTTTATATTAAAATGTCAACTTTTATTTAATCAAACTGCACAATAGAATGTATAGCATTTTCAGTTTTAATAGTTAAAAGTAAGCAATAAACCTTTGCTTATTCAATAAATAAAATATTCGTAAAAGTTAAAGGAATCAAGAGACTAGAATTTTCCACGGCTAACTGAGGGCAAAAGGGCATACTTGAAGATTAAAAGGTTGATAAGTTTGTTCAGATACTTTAAAGAATTAAGAAACCTTTAGGCTTTTCTGTATGTAGGAAGCCGCAGATGGTATTTTATCTTACTGATTCCCATTCCTACATGCTATTAAAATATTAAATTGTGGCAAAATTTAGAAGCATTAGAATTTTTTATAGATTTTGAGTTAAATGATTATCGTATACTATCATGTATCGTGAGTATTGCGCATGTAAAAGTATCGGATCTACTTGAATTTCTGCATATATGATACTATAAAAAAATACAGACGTTATGTTTGGTAACCATTCCTGGCAAACTTGGTACTTATATTTCGTTAACGTTTGCTCACATCATCATTTACGAATTTAAAATGATATTCGTATCGTTACCATTGTCATCAAAATTAAAAGTCAAGATAGTGCCAAGGTTAAATAAAAACTTGTTTTACTTTGTAATACGTAAGCAATCGCAATCAATCAACTAATTAATCCATTGGACAGTTTAACGTCGTTCTTTTTACAAAGAGAAGTTTGATTTTTTTAAACTCAATTTTACTTTTCTTTCTAGATTAAAGCATTACATTGGTTTTCCTTCCGTGGATATATAAAAAGAAAAGATCAATGTTCTCTCTCTCTCTCTCAAAACCTTACTTTTATTATATACTTTACATTTCTCCAGTAACCTATCCAAGAATAACATGTATGTACAGTTCAATTAAAATTTAAAATGTTATAGATGATACTGAATGCATAATGTTTTGTACAAATCCCTAAACGAATTTAACAGTTTGGTTCCTCATTTTATAGTGGTTACAGTAGAGCAATGTCCCCAGTTTGAAGAAGAAACTTCGACAGCCACCTACAATGGAAAGTGTTATACGTTTCACAGCAACCGCCCTAGGACGCTGGAAGGTGCTACAAAATTTTGTGCCCTGCAAGGAGGTAGCTTGGTACATGAAACGAGCCCGGCTTTGCAAGGGTTCCTCAGCTGGGAGTTGTACAAGCGCCACAAAAAGAACCCGGGTTCCGATTATTGGAATGGTGTCGTTAGAGATCCAGTATCCAAGGACTGGAAGTGGTTAGATGGTAATAACTTCTTCTTTTACACACGAAGAAATAATTATTTGATTTTGAATTAGAAAGTTGTAAAAGAAAAAGAAACAGTTTAGATTACTTTAGTACTGTCAATCATTTCAATAACTCAAATATATATTCATCCGATTCACTAATAATTTTAAAGATTATTGAAATAACATTTATATAAATATAAATTTACAATATAACAATATAAAATTAAAATAATAATTGTAATTAGTACTCTTTGAGTTTAGTTTGACAACTCGTGTGCCAAGCATATAAACGTGCCTCAAATTGCAAGTATCTAAATTTAAATGTGTGAGATGAAAGTTAAACTGATTTCACTTTTATCTTACAGGAAAAGATCTTACTATTTCTTTCTGGAGCATTCCACCGACTGACAAGAACTGCTCGAGATTTGACGGATCCAATGGCTGGTTATGGTCAGATACCGAGTGCAACAGGGAACTCAATTACATCTGTGAACACAGTAAGTTGGACAAAGTTTCAGTAAATGTAACAATAATTATTCTTAGTTAAAGAAAATTATAAAAGTCTGGATTTATACTACTTATAAAAGTCTTCTAGGGAGTTGACAAAAACTCCACAGAAGACTTAGCAAGTTTCTGGCTTATAACTTCTTCATAAAGTACTAGACAGAAAGTTGCGCTTCATTGGCAGAGAGCATAGGGTATTTCGAAACCATGAAGCATAAATCAACTACATCTCGCGGATTTAAACCTCGAATTTTTTAATTGCAGCCGGACTTGATAACCACTTACACAACACGACTACACAAGGCGGAATGTGATAATTCCTTATATTCTTCCCCACTTAAAAAAACGAATGGGGAGACATAGTCGATCAAATTTAGGTGGTGAAAAAAGCACATTTTACACACTGCAGTACTGCAGAGCCACTGTAATTTTAGTTTTTTTTTTTTTTTTTGAAGCATGAGACATAAAAATTTTAACCGTGGCCTTGCCGGGATTCGAATCATGGATCTTCCAAGTGCTAGTTGGACATGTTAACCAGTAAGCACTACGAGAACACGTATGTGGAATACCATAACTGCTTATATACGTAAGTTCAAAAACTGAACTAAAAGATTTGTAAGAATCTTACTAAGGTTGCCTTTATTATACTTGAATCCTGACAATTTATTAAACAATTCAGAAGAAAATTGTGTTTCAATAATAACTGTAAAAAGATTATTATCTTTTCTGTATAAAAGTTAACTGAAAAAAGTCCGTGCAGGAAACACAACAGCTTCTGGTTAGATTAGGTTATTGGAATATGACAAAGCACAAGAGGGTCGTCTGACTAAGAGGAAGGGTGCCTTGGAGGACTTTTTTAATAGAAACTGTCTTGTATTCTCATTACACATAGGGAAATCCAGCCCGTTCTCCTGAGATCAACCTTAAGTCGAAGTCCCAGTATTCAGCCGTCTTGTGGAGTCCGCCACTTGTGAAGCCACAACGGCTTAACTCTGAATTACATTTAGAAATCATTCAGAGATTATCTGCGTAACGCATGCTTCATGGGACGGATCCTCCATGAAAGGGTTTCCTTCATGAAGCAAAGTAGCTTATATTTTCAGAAAATCAAGATTGGAAGAGAACATGCAGCCGACCACCCGGAAAATAGAGCATCGAAAAAAACTATGATGAATTAACACTATTCCGCTGCTTTAGCTACTCAGCTTTGATAGCAGTCTTAAATACAGCAAGCAGCAAGAAAGGAAGAGTCAAACTTTAGCAGTTTTAAGGCTTTGATTTGGAATCAAACTGATACTTGACAGTCTACAAACAAGTATTTTTTCACTCGATTATTGGAACTTCACTAAACCACAGATTAAGTTCTTAATTTCGATTTGAATATCAATACGTGTCCTTTTATACCCGTGCTTTTAATTTCAGGTAGAATGAAGCCTGCCAGTATATTAACTTCGGCGAGAACTTTCATTTACCCCTCTAATGTTCCCTTTTAAGTGGACATCACTCTAAAAATTTACTTTTGCAATGAATTATACAGATGATAGACATTATTTAGTCATTGTCTCCTCTGCTTTACTTCCTCAGAAATTGCTTTCAGATTCCATTGGCAACAAAAAAGATGAATGTTTAAATGTTTAATTATCCAGCTATCTTTGATTGAGATTGGTGAATCTCATGATTGCAAGTGATTCTTCAAAGCAAAATTCTGTGTGTAAGACCTTTCATTTGTCCGCCGACTTTCAACTGAACGTATCCTTACACTGTTACTAAGGAATAAGAACCGTACAAAGTGTGATACTTAAGCCGTGAGTAGTATAATTTTGAGGAATTAATTTGAGTAAAGATGTACCTCATTATTCGTTGCTTTCTAAAAACTGATTATTGCAATCATCATTTATAGTATTCCGGCTTATTTTATGGTCTATGTTGCTAAACGCAGCTTGATGTTGTAATCCTTGTATGGCATTAAAAAATTCTAAATCCAAGATGTTAAAGTAAGGACTGTTGGGAGGTTGACTATATCTTAGAAACAGTTTTGGCCGACACACCATGTTTTTTTACCGATAACCTCTATAAGATAATGCATTTCTAAAGTTTCTCAATAATTCCCGCAAAATCTCATTTCTCTCTTCAGACCTTAAATTGCATTTCTTTCCCATAGCTCTATAAAAAGGAATTAAAATAAATCAATATATAGTATAAAAATTCTATTTTATAAAAGAGAAGGTAACAAGCTCAAAAAACTATTTCCGGCTTCTGTCTCCTTAATCTGACCCAAATTTATTAAATTGGACAATCATATCGATCCGGAGGGAATATTATTTAATTATTATAATTCTAACAATGTGTTAAAAATAATGCTTCAAACAATCAAAGGCACCTTCTAACATTTAATTTCTGCAAATTTGTTTACGATTTTTAATCTACATTCCTTTTTAATTTATTTGATTTCTGCATTTATTTAATTTTACAGGGCCAGTTTCATGTGGTTCGCCAGAGAGACCGGTCAATTCATCCCTACTCATGAGATCCAATACAGTAGGCTCGACAATTGAATACCAGTGCAACTCCGGCCATTTGCTTCTCGGTCCCACTACAAGAAAATGCTCAATCACAGGATATTTTAGTGATTTTTCTCCCAAATGTTCATGTAAGAACTATTCAGTAATGCTGTTAATAAACTTTGCTTATTTTTGTTTGTTTGTTTATAGAAGAAAACTGAAAAAAAGTTTCGCTATTTTGAATATCTAGTGTATTTAGGTTGACCATTTTATAACATTGGCTATCTGAGTACTTAAATAACAGATGATTTTTTTTTAATGTTATAAAAATTCAGGGTAGGCTCTCTATTTTTAGTTTAAAGAGCCCTTGGTGTTTAATGTATAGGATTACTAACGGAAGTGTGAAGTTGTTATAGAACAAATAAAACAAACAAAAGACTTTACACAAGCATACATATTTTATTTTATTCTAATTTTATTTACTAATTCAAAATGACCCAATGTAAAACTATTAACTCTATAAATGAATTGCCTACTGTACTTGTGTAGTAACTTAGCACACCAAATTGAGATTAAAATGATGTTTCATAAAATAAAATACCTTTTCATTTCGTTTGACGTCTACATTGAAATCTCCCATCATAATACTAGGAACATCTGCATCTACAGTAAACTCTTCATCGATCATTTCATCAAGCCTCAAAATATTTCAACAATACACATCTTCAACAAGAACATCTTCAAATCTCCCGAACTAACAGTTGGATGAATATATGCAGATGTTAGAATAAATCTTGGCTGTCTGTTATTAAGTACACCAACCATACAAATATCGCCTACTTCTGAATCCTGTATTATCTTACGTCTCTTAATAAGAAATTCTATTGGTGCTACACTCATAAACTTTCTATAAATCGGCTCACCACAATCTTGACGAAATAAAACAAAATACAGCAAACTCCCCTCGAACACATTGTTCTATTCTAGGCGCAACTGACTACCAAACTGCCTTGCCACTCACACGCGGTCGCAAATGCGCACGGAGCTTCAACAAAATTTTGTTATTTTTGACGCGTTACTATGCGTATACCATTTGCCTAAATTTTAATTCTTGCGTGTGTGTGTGTTTGTTAATGTGCTCTTTCATTTATCTAATGATTTATTTAGATTGATTACAACATTTGTAGTTTCGAAGATATAAGCATTTGGGCACACCTCAAATAGCGTCTTAATTGTTGTTTTCCCATCAAACCATTACGGAGGAACGTAATCCTATGTTAAAAATTATAAAACTATAAATCCGCTGAATATTTACGAAGAACTGCTTTATTTGGTATTGCAAAATTAAGTTTGAAACGGACTCTTTTTTTTAAATGCGTTACGAGAGATTTTACTGTATAAAGAAATATACTTCCAAGCCGTTTTAGTGTAATGTTTTTCAACTTTTTTGTAACTGTTCGCCGTTTTAGAGAAAAGTACGCAAACCGTTTTGGTGTAAATTTTTTCAACTTTTTTGTAACTTAAAATTTTCGCTTTATAGATGCTATATGCCAACTTAAAACAGAAAAGTATAACAAACAATCATTTCAGATTATTTGCTTAAAATACAAAATGTTTATGAAGACTCAGAGCGAATTCAAACGTCAACCGTTTCGTATAAACAGATGATTTGTAATACATCGCAAACTGCTTATAAAAGTTTGACTACATAGAGACTGTGCGTTAGTACGCTTTAGATGTGAAATTATTTTAAATTATACCCTTCCAGTTAAACGATCGGGCATAGTTGGATCACTCACTTGGCCTATTTATGTGATTTGATTTCACTGAAATAATTCCCAGCAACCATGTCAAAATAATTGTCCATTCATCAAAGCCCTTCTGTTGTTGACTTATTATCAAGACATGGCCGGTGCTATGCCTTTTTTGCAACACGGTGCTATCTCTACGGTCCTAAATCTTGCTGCATCGATTGCACAGTCCATTGGGCAAGTTATGGCAACAGTCCCGAAAACACGACATAATAATTTTGTAGCCCTCTTTCTTTCAGTATGACTATGGCATTTTGAGCTACAGGTTAGAAAGCTAGTTTGCACAATAGATCATGAAAAAACATGGCCAGATTGAAGTGTCATGATTTTGAACTGCATTGGCACTAAATTCTAGAAATAAAACCTTCAAATGCAGTTTATTATCCAAGTTTAAATAACATTTAAAGTTAAACAATGTCTCCGTAAACGCCCTTTACATACCTTGATGTTGATATTAAAACTTTCAGCTGACGCAATATTTACAAATTCTAATTTATTACTTTACATAGTATGTATATATAAGTGAGTATGTATATATAGTATGTATATATGAAGTGAGTATATATAAGTATTTTGGGAAGTGATTTTTAATTGGTGACACTATTTACTGCCTAACACAGCTTCAAATAATTATTGTTTCTTTACAGATCTTGAATGCGGCTTCCCTGCCAACATTCCCAATGGAGGCTACACTTTAGTAAATGGCACAAAGCATTATCGAAGTATTGTTCAGTATTTTTGCCAAGAGTCGTACATATTAGTAGGACGTTCGGATTTGATGTGTGATGCCGACCGCAAATGGGATGGTCCGCCTCCCAGATGTGATCGTAAGTAACTTGAAATTATATTCACAATCATTCATTTTTTTAAGATTTATATAGTTAAATTTCGTATGTCAACTATTTTATTTTTACAATATCCATTTACGTCGAAAAAGTACTTATTTTACAGTCGAATCTCCATCAACGCACTTAACTTTGAATCTTCGAACCCTCAAATTAAAAGAGCACACTCCCATTAAGTGGAAGTTTTCCAATAACAGAGATACTTATTCTTTCGGTGTCTGTTACTAACAGAAAGTTCAGTTGTAATCCTTTAAGGGAAAAATATTGAAAAATTAAACACTTTATGATTAACCGCACTCTCACCGAACAGTCAAGAACTCTTTGATGACTTTGGAAAGAAACGTTTGTTTGGCATCTTTACGTCTATCTAAACGACACATCAAATGCCACGAAAGTTTTTAGTGTTCTTTTCCATAAAAGAGAAGCACACTTTTGTGCTGTTGTTCTCTCCATGCACTCAGTAATCTGTTTTCGCTAGAAAAACGTCAAAGAACTGCACAACCTCTGCGCTAAAATTCTAAAATGAGAAACATGAGGCATATGTTGCCTTTAATCGAGCCACATTTCGATATAAGCTAATTCTGAGATTTCACCGAAGATGATAAAAACTGCCCTGTATGGCCTACCACGCTAAAATATTAAATTTCCTACAAGAGGGATCATAATCTGCAGTAATACTAACGAAAATGTCCGAAAGAGTAAAACGTCATCTAGAGAAGATACTTTAGTTGCCAGATAAATACTTTTTGGCGACATAATGGGTTACCATATAATTACTGTTTGGTGACATAATACGTCATCGCATCAATCATATATATATATATATATATATACGTACATATATATGCTGTATATTAATTGAATAAAAATTTAAATGAAGAACTAAATAAAGAATACGCTTTTACTACGGAAAAGGTCTTTCGGAAATATTTTTTGTGAATGAATTCATTGGCATTTGTTTATTTACTGTTCTTTTTGTTCTTTTCTAGCTCTGCTGTGTCATAATCCCCCAGCCATAGCACACGGTAATGTAACAGTGACGGTCAATACAACAGTTCCAGGCACAACGGCGGAATATACTTGCGAAGATAACTATAAACTTGTTGGTGCGAATAACATTTCCTGCGATTCGACGGGATTCTGGACATCGAAACCTCCCACATGCGAATGTAAGTACACATATTCCACAACATCTATTCCATATAAGAAAGAATGGCATTTTCGTTAAACTATATATCTTTCCTTTCTAAATAAATATAGCATAAAAATATGCCTGAGTAAAGATACTGAAAGACCAGTATTTAACAAAATAGTGGATATTCAAAAAGAGCTGAAGAGCAACAAGTATATAATTAGAGTCATATAATCTAGTACTTCCATGATTGCATTTCTGGGGAACGGTTTTCTGATAAACTGCAAATGCAAAGAAATTTAAGAATATCATAAAGAATTCAGGGTTAAACCTTGAAGTAATCTAACGAATATTTCGAAGCGAGGACTCTTACTACCAATTCGAAGCGAGGAAAAAAATCTCAAAACTTCAGTTCAACAGTTTAATACCTCAAACAGTTTGCCATTAAAACTCCAAAAAGTTGGATAAAATATTTTTAAAAATATAACAAAAATATGATTAAAAAGAATTTGCAATCTGGTCTTGCAATGCAAATTTTATTTTAATGCCTGAAACAGTTTTAGCTATGCAGTTAGCTAGGCAAATAACCCTGCTAGCTTATGAATAAGCCTAAATGACCAGTTGGTCTCAAAGGAATACGCAGAATGAAGTAAAATTAATTAATTGTCCTCCGAAAGTTAAATATTTCCCCAAGTAGTTCATATTTTATGGTTTTCTTTCATGGCAGATCTCCTTTTTTTTTTCTGAATAGGAATACAAAAAGTCTATAAAATACAGCTTGTTTCGCAAACGATTTGACAAGACTAAATGCTTAGCGCAATGATTCATGACATAGGTTGGTTTGATTTATTTGAATATAGCAAAGACCTCGAGGGCTATCTGCCCACGGGAAGGGATGCCTTTATGGAGGAATTTTTAAACTGGTTCGTATACACATTACACATGAAAAATAACCAGGAATGCGCCCATGCAGCCAAACCGTTTGCCGGGATTCGAGTCCCGGACCGAACTACCCGTGTTCAGCGAATTTATTCATTGGTTCAGCCATTAGTGGACCTTCAAAACAAAGAATAGTAACGAGGATAAGAAAAACGCTATAGTAAAAAACCTATTCTAATTTATCCTCTTTATAAACTGCATTCATACTGGTTTTCAGAATTAAAAGGTAATACATGTTATTTATTATAAAAATAAATTAAATTTTAATTACAAATAGAAGAGCATTTAAAAATCATATAAAAATGAATTGCAAAGAAATTAAATAAAGCTAAAATATTGCTCCCGATTCCAAAGCATATAAAAGAAAAAATAGTGTCATTTCTATCGTCGAAGATAAAACTATTTAATAACGTATATAATCTCCTTTAGCAGGAAAGCACACTTCGTAATGTCTTTCCTGTTAATTTAAGTGGATGGGAGCAAACACTGTTCTAAGAAAACAGGTCTGCCTCCTGCAGGCTCCAAGGGGGAGCTAGTGCGCCACAACTCGGCAGTTTAACATATATCATACATCCTGAACAGGATTCAGTCGATTATAGCAGCCAACCGTTTGAAACAATATTATTAGTTTGAAGGTATTTAACACCACAACAACTGTATGAACTGTGATGAGGCAAATAGCCCTGGACTACTTTGCCCTAACCAAATAAACCAAACCAAATGAAACCAAAACCGCGTGGTTACTAAACTTCCAACATTTATACGGCATTCGGTGTGGCAGTTTTTGATGATTGGTTCCCAAACCAGTAAGTAAATCATCACCATGAAACAATACCTTTCATGGATATGGGGTGGATGGTACGCTGTTCCAGGCAGTCTCCTGATTAAAATATCTCTCGAATCACTCTATAAATTGAACCTGAACCCATTCGTCAACATTATTCGGGCCTAAGCATAACTTCATTAGTTGGTTAAGATGAAATTATCTTAAATGTTCTCCTCATAAAGATGAAAAGTGAGACGTAACACAATGATCCTCGCCTAAGATTAGGTCCGTAAAACCTTCATTAAGCAATAGGTTTACTTATTTGGTTATTTGTTCCAGTAGCATCCCTCCTAGTAACTCTAGTACGCTTTCCCATATTAGACTCTGAAAATCATAGACAAACATAAACAGAAAATACAGACTTTTGTGGACTGTGCAGAAAATACGATATCTTGCCTTGTTACGAAATATCCAGCCGCGGTAAGATAGCTTCCCTGCAAAGCAGGTTTAGGGTTGCCAGAAAATAGCAAGGAAAGGCAGGGCTGCCGCATGTGGCGAGAAATCGCCCATTTAGCAACAAAGTTGGCGGAGAACCTTCGGAACGGAAGGAGAACCTTCTGGAACGAATTCTTACTGGTTTAGTCCAGAATGTACTCGAACACAAGCCAAAAGCTATATAAACCCTGATGGTACGCGGAGAGTCAGTCAGTGCAGAGTTTATCGAGTTGATAGTCAGTCAGCAAGTACCTAGTCGAGTCAGTGAGAGAGTGTCTCGAAGTCTAGTGCCGAGTTGGTCGTCGAGTGCATCGAGAGAGTCTCTTAGTGCATCTTCGAGTTTTATCTTAGAGTGTGTTGAGCTCCAGAAACGACTGAACCGAGTCGGAAGCTGTACTCTAGTGTATCGTCGAGTACATCGCGAGGTGTAGCGTGGAGAATCTCAAGAGTACGTGGAGTTCCGAGAACGACCAGGCAGAATCGGGAGCTGTACTCTGGTGCTTTGCAGTGAAGCTGTCTTCACCGTTATAGCCTGATAACCTGAAGGCTGTGTCGCTGATTGTTACAGCGTGTTTATAGTAGTTCTTCGACGACTGTGAAAACGTGATTTTGGAGCTGTCTTGAATAATACTGGCTAATAAATTGTGTTTTGATACTTCATCACGTGTCACCGTTATTTACCCCAAATCCACGAACCCCTATCGTACGTACGTAAAGGAAGAAAAACGCAATTATACGATTTCTTGCATTGCACGATTATATAGTTTGAAACGTTTTCAGTCAGAACATTTCTTTCTGTTCTGGATGGAATATTCTTCTAACTGTAGATTGATGAACATGACGTTTATGGAGATTATTGCAGATCATCATATTATTACGACTCTAAAATATATTTAAACATCTAATACTGCTTTTGTTCCCCTTGTAACTTGCGAGTAACCTTCCAAACACGCGCAATGCTTTTATCAGTTCTCAAGGTCATCCGCTACTTTTTGATTACCGTAAACTGCAACAGGACTCTCAGTTAATTCTTTATGCCAGTCACATACTTATTTCTTCATAATGTTATAACCGATAGCGTTTTCAACCATTAATGTCTCAGAAGGTCCTCTCTGACGCAAAACCCAGAATGTGACATTTGCACCTTGTTCATTGAAAGTCAATTCGAAATCCGACGGTGTTCCATGTTCCACGCATTTCAGCAAATAAATTGTTGTTGGAAAAGAAATGGCATGATTACGCTAGCCATGAGAAAATGTCACGAATGTCAAGGATCAACAAATATATAAATTCGTATTGCGACAACAAAGTCCGGATAAAAAGGTCTTTTGTGGACACAATGTATATAATATACTACCTAGAACGAAATTCCCAGTGACGAAAATTTTTAGCATGAATCAGATCTGTATGATTCGTCGAATAACTGATGATCGGACTGTGTTTAAAAATGTAAGTTCAATAAAGCGCGGTTTATTTTGAAAATATGATTTATATTCTTATCAAGAGTAAATTTAATTGAAATGTTCAACATTATATTTTTGCTTTTAAAAAACATTTAAAGTTAATATCTAACACATTATATTTCTTTAACTGCTTAGATGAATGTTTTCCACATAATACTTCTGCTATTGAAGGAAAACGAAATATTGTTAAAAGCAAAGAAAACATTTCATTCGTTGTTCTTTTAAGTGGATATATGACGTTTTTCATCAAATTCATATTATATCAATCCAGCAAATGACATTGATATAATATTCAATAGTTCTTGTGAAGAATTAAACCTCTACTAGTTTATTTAACTGCGTATTTTCACTATAAATACATGATTTATATAGTGGAAATACGCAGGTAAGAAATTATTTGCATCCTTAAACTAAGAAATCCTTTTTGAATTCCTTTACTAAAGGTATTTATATAGAATTTTAGACATTTTATCGGCATAATTTCTCAAAATACTCATTAACTCGGATTTTTAATTCTTTGAAATATTCTTCTCTCCTGAGATTTTGACTCATCAGACTTCAATGTGTATAGCAATACTATAACTCAATAAATTCCGAGTTATATAATAAAATTCCATTTCCTTTATAAATGCATTTACTTAAAAGGATTTAAAATGTTTGATTGGACTAAGGAATTAACATAGTCATAAACTGTTAATTAAAAATTTTAATTATAATTAAAAAAATATTTACAGATAGAGCTCATTTTTTTTAATTACGTTCTATTGTCTTACATTTATTGGTATATTAATGAATTTATGGTAATTACCTATTATCCCGTCGGCTGTGAAAGTTATCTACCATCGAACTATGAAAGTTAACGGAGCTCCCAACAAAAGTTGGGCCAATCATTCCTGCAGATTTTTTGTAGCAGCCGAAGCCTCTTTCTTTAATAAACAATCAGCATTCAGCCCGCTTTGTTTTTGAGCTTCGTAAGAAGTTGTTCTTCAGTTTCTACTGTTTTACTAGGCCTTCCAATTTCACCAGAAATTCTGTTTAGAATGCTGGAGTACAACTTCCAAGAAATGACTGTTTGATAGTCTATTACTGATTTGTCGGTCATATTCAGCTGACCACATCGCGACACCATACGCACTTATTTGATGGCAAGATTCCATAACTTTGATCCACTGCTTGCTGTTCTGTGAAAGGCAGATTATCTAACCATTTTTGTTTCCAAAATGCAAGAAAAAGTACAACAATAACAGTTAATTTACGTCCTTGTACATAAAAAACAAAACGTGGTTTAGCCGAGAATCAGTGGAGGTTGCATCTAATGAAAGCGAGATATTATGAGTGCATTGTGCTAGTTCATAATTGGCTCTAAATGGTGCTAATTGGCGACAGGTTCACGATCGAAGGGATAGTACGTTAAGTACCAAGCTGATTTCTTTTCTAACACAAAATGCTTATTTTTAAAAAATATTAAGAAGAAAATGCATAAAATAAAATTAATGAAACAATCACAAGTTAAATTTATAATTTACATTCTGTACCTATTTTAATAATTAAATCGTTTTTATCAAATTCCAACATTAAAAAAAAATTCTATTGAGTTAATATTAGTTATTCTGCTATATATGTGAAAAGGAAAAGGGAGAAAATGAAATAAACATTTCTTTAATTTAGTGGACAAAGAAAAATTATACAATGCAAGAATTGAGGGTAAACATAAGAGGAACAGAGCCTCCATTGCTGCAAGACTCAATATGGGTAAGTAAATTCTCTCTCTCTCTTTTTTTTTCCAATGAAAAGCAATCAACCATTTTCAACAATAAATGATGATAATGATTTATTTTCCATTACAGGTGGTATTATAGCTCTCGGTATATTTGGTGGATTTGTCTTCCTAGCTGTCATCATTTCAATTGTAGTCATCATAGTCAGAAGGTAAAATTTTCATTGTCATTAAATGAACATATTCCAAAAGTAAAGAACATGAGTACTATTATCAGTGTTTCTAAAACATGTATTGTAGTTCTTAATTATAACTCTTCCTCTCAGAGAGAGAGTGAACAACATGAAATCGTAAAAAACTTCTTAACATTAAGATTTTAAACCGCATCGTGTCACGAAGTCTTTTTTAAATAATTACATTACAGTTACATTTCTACGTAATACAGTTTACTATTAAAACTCTTCTGTTCCTCGACACATACTCTGCAACACTAGAATGTTTCTTAATAAATTTTACATTGTTAAATTCAAATATAGCATTTATTTTACATTACCGTCATCAGTTAAGGAAACTAAGGAATTTTGCTCGTTTATGCCAGAAAATTTCTCTTAGAATTCGTATCCCCTTTACCAGCTGAATGAAATCTAATTTTATGTGAAGATGATGTAAATAATTATTATTCTTCTTAATTACTAAGGCTCCGTATACCTCATTACAGAGGCCATTTTATCCAAAATTTATAAGGAATTTTGCTCGTTTATGCCAGAAAATTTCTCTTAGAATTCGTATCCCCTTTACCAGCTGAATGAAATCTAATTTTATGTGAAGATGATGTAAATAATTATTATTCTTCTTAATTACTAAGGCTCCGTATACCTCATTACAGAGGCCATTTTTATCCACTTAAAGTCTGAGAAAGTTTAGGGTGTTTTGAAATTTTCTGTCAAGAACGGTTTAGCATTTTCGCGAAATTGACAGCCAGATTGATGGACGAATAAGAGAAAAATCATTAAATATCATCTGGCCCCATGCCTGGCAGCATGCTTCGTAAGACCTAGGCTGTGATCAGAATGGTGATGTAACCAAGTATTAAGTTGCGTAAAATTTTATTTCGTAATATTTTGTCCCGACTGTTTAGCTAGTTGGACATTTTATACTTAATAAAACATTTTTGATAAACAACGCAAAACTGGAGTAGTGCCCTCTCCCGATTTTTGACAATTACATTTATATTTTCTTAAATTTCTATAATATAGTTAAAGTAACAAAACGCAGTAGCCGATAGCAAATTAGCAGAAAAGAGAAGCGGAGAAGAAATACGTAGATTTCAAATTGAAGGTTAGATTGAGAATCGTGGCTTCACTTTAGTTTTATTGGTTAATTAAGATTTCAGTTCTCAAATTTTAATACTAGTATTGGTTGAAATATTATATAATTACCTGCTTCATTAGCGTTAAATAGCGATTTATGTGAAAAGGATTAATTTTTAATGACGCAGTTTAGAGAGATTAATTATAAGCACGTTACTATGTTTTAAGATAAAGATGACGAAAACAAAATAGAGAATCTGAAATCTTTCAGATTTTACATTACGCCCAAAGTGGCGATTTTTTAACGATTTGTGTATTACCTTTATTTATTATATATCATGTTCTTCGCATTTAAACCATAAAATTCAATTCAACAGCAATAGCGCAAAATAATTTTTAAATGAGCATATCTTTAGAATTTCCGATACAGTCTCCCGCGCAGGAGATAAAAATGATTCCCCCCCGTACAGTGTTGCCATTGCTCGCTTTGAAATCCTTGAGTTTGTTAATCAAGAATTCGTTAGAGTGTTACAAAATATAAAATCGATAATAAAACAAATTTCAAATTAGGACTTCCAGATGCCCATATTCGGTGGAGGATTACGTTATTCAACATTTGATGGCTCTAGGTATCGTTGTTTTATCACAATGCGAGAAATATATATACATTTATGCAGATTTAATTTCTTTAAATATAACATACAACATTAATATTTGGTGGCAACAATTTGAAAAGTGAAACAGACATTTAATGTTTTCGACGCAAAGTGCCAAAACGAAATTAATAGCCCTTCTGCGCTAACGCCCTTTGGGCTAACAAGAGGGTTAAGCGCCTATTGCAAATTAAAGTTAAGATTTTGTTTTACACATTCTTTACTTAACGTATATGCATTTAAGTGTGCATATTGTAATTGAAATGAAATATACATCATGGATAGTATCTTAAAATTTTCAGAAATCCACTAACTTCTGGTTTGAACTAAAGAAATTTCAGAATTTCATTAATTTATACATTGAAATATGTTCCAAAAATGTTTATTTGCTTTGAAAAATTTCAAGTAACTGTTTTAATTTTAATAAGAATACATATTTATTTTGTAATACTACGTCAAATAACCAACCTTTTGCAATACACAGTTTTAAAAATGCTGAAAGCTTTTAATTTTTACTCTTGTTTCTGTTTCCCATGTGATTTTCAATCTACTTTTAAGCTAATGTTTAATTTTCCAGGTCATTTAAAGGTACTTCTTTAGAAGGCAAAACGCGCACCTGTCGAAAACAAAATATGTAGATACACTCTATGACATAAAGTGCTACGCACCAAGAAGGAGTTATCGGAATGGAACGAAAATCGGTGGATTTTGATTCACACGTATTGAAAACGAAACGCTAATAATATTATAGGAATTGAGTGTTTTACTCAGAAAACACAGCTACAAGATAACAAAGAAATGAGTATCCCACCTCGTCCTAGACTTCTCCAGATATGCTTTTGCTAGCCAGCGGGACTGATTTCAAAACGAAACTCATCGCTGAAAACAGTTCTATTCCAGTCCGTGAGATTCCAGATCGAATGCATCCAGCACTACTGCAGATGTGACTGGTTGTGTGCAACCGCGAAAGGCAGTAGGCGCAGTGGCCTCCGTAACTTCATCCCCCTTTCGCTGGGTTATCTATCAATGGTTATTGGAGTCACTGATGTTCCGGTTACATGTCGGATCTTTCATAAAGACGCATCAGGGGCTGTGAGAATCGATCGGATCTGTCGATCACTCTGTCCTCATGCTCTGTTCTAGCTCTTGGTCGACCACTAGAGATCTGTACGGCTATGGTTCACCCATTCCTGCCAATATCATCGAATAGTAGCGTTGCTCCGACCGATACTAATGTGTAGAGATCCTGCGATTTGATATCCTGCTTCTTTTAGTCCAATTGCACGTCCTCTCTCAAATGGTTATATCTGCTCATACTATTCGCCAACCCATCTGAGAGGCACTGGTACAGTTTACGTAGGCCGATGGGAACCACATTTGTATGGAAGTTATAACTTGGCATTGGAATGTCCTCTATTTTATAAACCATCCGGATGCGCCATTGCAGTACGCTAGAGCTCTAGCTGGTCAGTCATTGGCCGCCAAAAGTTAATCATTTGCATAGTCTATCCTATGGTATGGACATACGCAATTTCATTCCATTCGTATAACTCCTTCTTGGCGCGTCGCTTTTTATGTTATAAAGTTTATATTTTTTACTATGTCATTTTGAAGATAAACACATACTTAAACTGCTTCTTTTCCTTCTTAACATTCTAACAAACTATTCTATATGAATCTAGATTAAATTAATTATATTTTAAAATTCAGTATACGGTGCCTGGTGGGGTCAGGGAGCTAAAACATTTTTTTCTACTTTTCCCTTTTAAAGCAAATCATCTGTCGAAAAAGCCCACTTACAGTATAATCAGAAGCTGATGAAGCAACATCCCTCAGGAATACCCCCAGGTATCAAGTAAAGGTAAATCACATACTGTTCAACGAAGTTTAAGGAAAGGGTTCTTTATATAAATTTCTTTCTAGAATACCGTTTTAGAGAGACTCTATATCTGGCTTTTTTTTTCCAATAAATTCTTTCTGCATCTGGTAAGTATGAAAAGTCAAGGGTATGCGCAATAACTTACATTTCAAAACCACATATCGATAGTTACATGCACAAATAATGATGGATATGGGGTTTTTAAATGGGAGTGTTCACAAATTATTTTGAAATGGAAGTCTCATAACTAAATATAAGTGTTTCATGTCACATGATTAAGCAAACTTCAACACCATCATACCGACTATTCCTTAATAAAAGTTCATTAACTTCATTACACATGAAAATGATATATATTAAACATAAATTGTTTGTAGACTTCTCCTACAGGTTGATAAAACCTCAATAATGAAAATATGAACATTATTTTTACGTCACAAATTAGTTAAAATTTCAAACTATTACATAAATTATCGATGTTTCATTTATATAAATTATTAAAAAGGAGTGCAGAAGAATAATTAGTTGTCTAATTTCAACAGTTGAATTTTCATAATATTCTGTTAATAAATTTAGGTTCTGAACGAAAATTATTTTTGCAAATGACAATGTTTCAGAACCTAATTTTATCCCAAATGTTATTGACACTTACAAAACTTGTTGGAAAGTGCTCTCTCTACACTCATGCTAGTAAAATCACATCCAAATTGCCTTAAAATTTGACCAATTTCAATGACCTCGATACTTTGAAGTATGCTTTTACTTTAGTTCTTTAGAGTTTTTGTTCACTTTTCATTTTAAATACGACTACAAGGAAGCGTTATACAAAGATTAATCTGGGGAATGAAGTAATGCTAACTATGCTTTTCTCTTTTTATTGCTTTGAAGCATATGCTAACTATGTTTATCCCTTTAAACATTTTTAGAATATGACAATGAGGGATGAGAAGTATAGCATGTGATGCCATCTTATTGGAGGTTAAGATAAGCAATACTACGATTACTTTTCAGTCAAAGAAGAACAGAAGTTTTCAAAAATCTAAAGCTAAACATCGAAGTCCACAATGTTATCAAGGAATACTCAGACAATAACACATCTAGCAGAACTAAAGACAATACTGACATACTGCATATAGTTTTAAAATTGCAGCTAAAGATTATCTGATCAAAAAATCAAAATCTATGCATATGTATAAATTAACGAAATGCACAAAATTTTGCACTGTGGATTAGTTTAAGAAGATTTAAAGGTAACATGCAAGTAAGTAATTATTATCAGTTTCCTTCGAACGATATGAAACTTCATTTCAATACAGACACTTCAATTTCATAGAACTTCAATTCAGAAAGTTTCATATTCTTACTTTGCCAGATAAAGGGTCCAATGTAAAATGATATTTTGCTTCTATTTTAACATCATAGTAAAAAATTCGACTAACAATACTAACTTTCTCATAATCTTTACCATGTAAATAATTTTTACATTCTATCAGTGATCTTGTTCCTGAATAATTTCACAGTTCCTCTTAAAAACATTCATTCAGTTGAGGAATTCATAAAACTTCATCCGTTGTATTACAGTATTTAAAATCAACTATCATCTTTAATTTAAATCTCATTAATTTAAAATAGTTTAATACTTATGAAAGAAGGTTTAGATAAATATCTTCGATCATAATTTTCAAGAAAAGTCTCTTATACGGTTGGCCCTAGCAGCTCTGTTTCTGCTTCCTTGTAAGAAGTAGAGGAAGTACTGTAATCGCGAAAAATTGGTAGAACAACTGAATCTCGGATGCCTTAATAAATTTTATATGCTGTAGAGATCTTATTTTCGCCATTTCAATACTTACCAAATAAGCTAAAATCAACTGTCGGGACTAACACGCATAGACCTCTGTTACAGTACAAGAAAATTATACAGTAAATATTATTTACGACTTTTATAATGAAAATCAAAAGCTAGTAAATTTGGTGGCCAAAGAAATACAAAACTTTAAAAAATGCTACAGAGTACAAGCTTTATGGTGCATGTTAATCTTGATATGGAAGCTTAGATAAATTGACTATCATGGAGGTTCTCAGTTAAATTTAGTAGGAAATTGACTTCAAATTGCCCATAAAGGTTCCTTGGTGTGTCTCGTCCTTCATCAAGGAGTGAGATGAGCCAAGGAATTCCTGTAACATTGCTGTGGTATAACTATTCCGCTTCTTTAAAAATGATTTTACAGGGTAATGCAAACGTTAACTCTCGTTTTTATATCTATACAAGAAAATATAGCTTTTACGAAGGAGAAAAAGAATGGACCAGGAAGATTATTTAAACGATCGCTATTCTTTGATTTCTAATTTCCCTCTTTTCTTTTGAAAGAAGATTTAGTATATTCACTTAAGGCCCGGAACTTAATATCCGTTCAATCTTTATCATACTTCATTATACACTTCTGCAAGCAGCTCCCCCCAAAAGAAACTGGGCAGAACATTTGAGTCAGAGATTTGTTCAGTGCTGAGATTTAATTCCTCAATATTTGCAACTACACAACTGATATTAAATTGGAATTTCAGCTTAAAATCAATGTCTGTATAATATTTTTAACACATTTCTGAGTAATGGAGAGGAGGAAATATTCACACTCCTAACCTGAATATTTCTTCCACACCAAATATCCAAAGCAGTAAGTGAAAAAGGCGTATACTAGAATTATCGAATACAAAAACTTAGATTTCAGAGAGGAATTCAAAATATCCTGAGTATCCAGAAGCAGAAAACCTGACTTTTTTCAAATTCTTTGCGGCAGAAGAAACCACACTAAATTTATGCAAAAGTCCAGAAAGACGTGAACAACTAAGAGTAATAACGGCCGATGTATGTTCTAGTGGTAATAAAATATCCAGAAGAAACAATGAAATAGCAGAAATATCTAAAAATAAAATGTTTGGATTATTAAACTTTCTGTGACTAGAGGAAGCCATATTAAATATATGCAAAGGTCAAGAGAATTGTGCTTTAAAATACGTGAAAATGTTTCATATAGGATCTAGCAGTCAGAGTACGATACACAAGATACAGGAAGTCCATTATGGGTGCGAAAAGAAATATTATGCCAAAATATTGTGCTGCTTGCAAGTTTCTACTTAAACGAGCACCTTAATTGCAGATGGTATTTCAGAAGCTCTAAATTCTGATTCTTCTATAAAACTAGTAAAGGAACAGCCTTTAGTTTCATACTGTATTAAGTCTTCAATCCAGAAAACTCCAATTCTTCTATCACTCAGATGTGTAAGACCTCATGTAAAACATATAATTGCACTTACAAACGGATTTTTCTCAATATTCAATATTGTTTGTATTCAATTTGTTTTTATAAACAAAATTGCATTCTTTTACTTGTTAATATCTGTCTTATAAAGTTGGGGGGGGGATAAAACTTCAAATTGTTGCAAAAATATCTTTTAAAAATCTGATATATTATGGCTTTAAAAACATGAAAAAATAGTATTTTAAATGTCTTTTCTTCTTTTTGGTATCTAGAAATTCAAATGCACAAGATTCATTAGATTCCTTGAGCACATATGAAAGTGGTGGTAGCAGAGAAAAACTGTACCAACGGCAATGTTGGCCTGGTCATCCTGGTAACCATCCTCCTGGCTTGCCTCCGCATTCAGGTGATCCAGACCATCGGAAAGGAAATTCTGATATCTTGCGAGAATCTCCTATGAGCAGTGCTCAGCAACATCACCATCATCGGCATCACCACCATCCGAGTACACATAGGGATAGCGATCTAAGTCTAGAGATAGGTGCCTCAACTTCAAGGTGGTGTCCGAAACATGAGAAACGAAGTGGATACTAAAACTTTCTGATACGTAGCAGATACTGTAATTTTGATTATTTCATTGCGGGGATTCAATAAAACTGGAAATAAAATTCATGGCATAGTCATGAAATGGAAGACGGGTGGACATGGATATTGGAGTCAGAAATTAATATTTATTTATCTCTTTTAAAATACTTCTCTTCCGTTTCAAGATGACACCAAGACGAAGCTGATTAACCAGTTTTACAGTTCTGAAACAATACATGGACAATCCAAATACTCTGAAACATATCAATAAATATCTCGGACAGCTCTTCAATACTTTCCTTTTTGTTGTATTTCATTTATAATATTATATTTACATTACCCAGTTTGCGATGTCCATGCATTGTGAATGTACATTAATATGTAAATAAAGATATAAATTTTAATGAAAATCTGTTTTGTATTTTTGCCCTTCTTTTTTTATTAATCCTACAATCAAGATTGGAATTTACTGATAAAAATTCACTTAGAAATTCTAACATTTTTACAAGAGAAAATTTATTGTAAGGAAAGTAGATGGCAAATACATTGTTGAACATTAACTGCAATAACAGGAAGAACGAATACGATCATTCTCAGATTTGGATGCGTAGGTAATGAGAAGATATATAACTAATTTATAGCACAACACATATGCAAATCATTTGAAGTAATAAAATCCATAGGAAATAATGTAACAGAAGATAACGGACAACCATGACTAGGTACTGAAATTAAATTTCCTTATACGATTAAATTTCCTTTTCCGTTCATTTGGAATTAAATTTCCACATACGACTTAAATTACGCCTCAGTAAAGAACCAGCAGACACACCAGTAAATTTCCAACTTTGACAGGGGAAGAATAATGGCATACCAAGACTGAGGATTATTTTTTCAAGAAATTGGTTCTTATATTAGACAGAAAACAGCTACAGTGACATACTATGGCGTTGTTGGGTCAGAGAAGAATTGGAGAATTTCAGAAGCTGTGTTAAATCACCAACGATAGGATAAATATCTTCCGTAAGAAGGTAGATTACAGCAATGAAGATTATATCTTAGCAAAGCAATCATTTATTCCGCTAGCTGTGACTGCACCAAGTGCCTCCGGCTGAAATGGTGACTAAAATATCGCAGATGGATCGGATGTGACTGCTTCTTCAAAACGATTCTCCTATTCAGGCTGTGCTGCTTCGACAGCCTGTACCAATCTAGCTCATAGTATTATGGCTCTAAATGCCATTGAATTCCAGTCCTACTCGTAAGTAATCTTATCCTACCAGTAAGCATCTCCGATATGCTAAATGCATTGCATCTCTGTGGTGGTAAAAATTTTACAAACATGATTGCTATTGTATAAATTTTGCCTTAATTTTAAAGCTGACTTCTATTTTTCTAATGAATATGTAATATAAATCAGATAAATAAACAAATATATTCACACATTTTTTCCTATAGTCACATAAGTGAGGCGAAATCCACTGAACACCACACAATTATTCATTTTTTTCTCAATAATTCCTACTGTCCAACTGTCTAACTGTCTAAACAATTGTCAGAATAATCTTCTGCAACTGGATGCGTAAAAGTCGAAATCTTAGAAATTTTTAAAAGAAACATAATTTTGATAAAGTAAGCCTCATTCCGCTAGTCTTGGAAAGAAATTAATGTTTCAAACAAAAGCAGATTTCTTTGCTTCTGATGAAGATAGACCTGTACGTGTTTGCCCTCGAAATCGATAAAGTTCTTGGCTCAGTCTACGCCAGACACAAGGTTGTTGCTTTGGTAATTTTAAGTTAATGTTATTAAGTTGGAAATGAAGCATAAAATGCCATAAAAGTGGATGAAGATGTCCAGACCCATTCAAATCGTTTTTGGAGTTCGGAATTCTCAAAATACGAGTGACGACTGCAAAAAGAAATGAATGCTATAGAATTTTATCAGACTAAAATTCTGGTTGTAATACTAAAAAGGAATCATCAGAAAAGCGAGAAAAGGAAGCGAACATGAATTTGAAAATTCAAGAATGAACTATGCTGACGCTGGTTGTTTGGTTTATTGATTATGATAGAGGTTTAAAAAATAATTCTCTGTGACTGGGTATTTGAACAAAATGCTGGGAGATTACAGGTAAAAAATTATGACTTTTGACAAAGCAAACCTCATTTGGAAAAAAAAAAAAAAAAAAAACACGTTATTTTTTGATATAGTGATTCTTACTTAAGTCTTATAATGGCGTTAAAAACTTGAAGCCAATAAAAATAAAGGGCTAAAAAATAATGGCATTGTTAGTGAAGTTCTGCCAATGAACAGATAAAAGAATCAAGCATTGATAAAACCATTTCTGAAGTTGAGGAATTCCAAAATATCTTACATTAGAAAAGGGGAAGAATAAAAAATGTGCCTGTTGTGGATGTTTACATTTACAGGCGTTCACGTTTACTGTGTTGGTACATTTTTCTAAATATTCTCTATACTATTTATATTTGCGACGTAAACTGATAAAGATGGGCAAAATATGACTGTTTCTCAAAGCAAGACTTTTGGAATGCTACTTAATGCACCCTGGTTTGCGCGCATAAAACAAATTCGTAAAATATTAAAAATCGTGACTTCATGATTATTTGTTCACAAATTCTCAGAATTTCTTTAACAAAATGATGAATTCTGAGTTTATACATCTATCAAGAATCACAGACTATGACCCAACCATTGAGAATGGTCGAAAAGACCATGAGGCATAACTCAAATTGATGAGCACCACAACTTAGTGACTCGGCTTAGCTGAGTAGACTCTTATAGGAAGAAAACTGGTCTGTTAAGACTAGAATGAGAGTAGGTTTGCTCATCATCACATTCTTTTGTATCTTATTTTGCCATATGATTGCTACAGATTAGTACTCCGCGCTATTCACTCCCAAATGGATCTTCATTATTTTTCAAGAAACGTGTTCAAGCTGCTAAGCAAGCGCTCTTCAGATTGACGGTACAAGTACTACAGGCCAACCCGGTGGCCTTAGGGTTAAATTGTTAATAGAGCGGATAAATACTTAATCAGTGATAAGCTCACAGCAGCATACGTTCAGTGTCATTATCAATACCTGATGAAGATATTTGGATATCTTTAGCTATAAAAATTATTATTGCGTGGAGTTGTAAAAAAGGTTTTCTTAAATTTTCGATCTTCTGGCTTGTTTATTCACAAAATTTATACGAAATGTTACAACAAAAAAATACTAACTCAGTATCTAAAAACACTGGAATACAGGTGTTATTTTTATACATTTAAAGCTGTGAATTTTAGGATTACAATAATACAATCCATAGGATGTTATAAGCCTTATTATTATAAATCTAATTTTATGACTGGCATTCTGCGAACTGTTTTGATGATAGTTTTATGATTTTGTGAGATGAATAAACTTTAAAGCATGTTTACTTTAATTATTACTTTAGTTATTATTTCCAGCATTAACAGCAACATCAACATCTTGACGCAGTTTTACGCTTTCTCTTGTTCGATTCGTTAGAGAATCGTGGTATTACTAGTAAGTGAAGAAAACATGGAAGAGTTGTTATAAAAAGAAAAATGATGAAAACTATGAGGTACCGTTGCTTTATCACAACAACACATACATACATACATACATTTATGCAGATTCTTCATTATTTAATTTCTTTAAATATAATGCAGGCCTCATTTGGTGGCAAAAATTTGAAAAGTGATACGCCGTTTTTAGCGATTCGACGCAAAATGAAATTAATAGCCCTTCTAGGCTAACGCCCTAAAAAAGAAAAGGAAAGAAATATAGCATGTTTGCTAAAACTACAGGAAACTCTGTTTAATAATTACTTTAAATTAATACTATCTTATCTTAATATGTCATTCTTAAAAACATTCTCAAGAGTTCATCATTTACAGCCCACAACGTCTTTCTCAGATTAACAGTACTTTCAGCCATCCGTACATTAATAAATATAAATTACGAGTTAAGCATAATATAAAATTCTCTGGTAGTTTATTTGATTCATTATCTACAAATTCGTTTGCCTAGGTTAATTGAAATCTAGACTTCTTCAATTATATTTCCTTTAAATAAGATTTTCTGCTGCATTCAAAATTACTACAACGAACTGCCATCGAACAATTAAAGTAATCCATCAAAAGGAAACATCAGAATAACTCTGATTATCCATTCCACTTCTTTATCGAACTGGCAATTTTCTTCTCTGTTTTTCATTGATATCACCAAAATTTTCAAAAAATACACTGTGGTAAAAGCCAGAAAACTGAGGTCTAAAGTGAAATTTAATGATTTCAGCTAATATTTTCACTAAGATTTTGTAATTATATACATATATATTGTAAATTCCCCAAAGTCATTACAGTTTTAATTCTACTTTAAGCTCTGCTCCCACTTGAGTAATTTTCTTTCAAAATTTTACACCTGCACATTTAAAGTATGAAGAACTGAAGTATAAATATTAACACATTGAGCCCGGCGCCGGTCCCTGTGAACTTTCCGTGTGGCCGGCGTCGGTCCCCGGGGACCGGCACAGAAATTTTCGTTTGGCTGAACAGAAAGGACAGCAAATTCGGCGCCGGGTTCAACGTGTTAAATAAAATTTCCAGGTCAAAATTTGGATTGAAAAAATCATATTTCAGTAGTGGATGAAATGATAGTCATAAGCAGTCATTCTGAGAACTAGATGAGATACATATTATTTTTTTTTTTTTTTTTGAAAATTTGAAAATAATTAAATGTATACAAAATCTCCTATTTTTAACAAACTGTTTGTTACTTACGTATTATCCCGTCGACCAGCTAAGTCCGCGATTTAGTGCCAATTATTGCCGCGATTAGTGCCATGGATACGCGTCCTTTAGAGTAAACTCAGATAACATGCCCTCTAGAATTTCGGAGTAACGATTGGCGACGGTAGCTCAAATTTCCACCAACGTTCGAAGAAATAATACATAAGTACCAATTTTTTTTTTAACTAATCTAAAGGCGGAAATAACAGTATTTGCTAGACTTTTTTCAAGTTTGACTACAAAATATTTTTTTTTACACAAAAAAGGCAGTCTCAACATTTCTTGCTCTACGAACCCCTTTCACCATTCCTAGATCATTCTTCCCCCCCTTCTTTCCAAAATTTGAAAAATACATATACACACTTATTTAGGTTTAGATTATTTTCTAAGATGTTTTATATATTAAACAAAAGAAATATAGAAAATATTGTTACAATAATTGAATAAATGTAACTTTTATATTCATAAACCAAAACTAAATAAAACGATAAATCGTATTCCCCTCTTGAAACTATGAACACCCCCCCCCCCCGGTTAAAAACTTCCTTTTTTTTTTTTTTTTTTTTTTTTTTTTTTTTTAACTGAATATTTTAAAA